AATAGGGATAAAAAAACATTATTAGATATGCCGTTAATAATATTATAGTCGTTAAATTTCTAAATTAGGTGATAGCCATCTCATGAAAAAAATTAAACTTGAGTTAACACTCGAATGCACAGTATTCGAATGCTAACTCGAGTCAGATACTCAAATCCTATACTCGAATTCTGACTCAAATTCTGACTCGAGTACTCTTTGAGTCAAAAGTATTCTTGACTCTACTTGACTCGAGTAATTTTTTTTTGACTCGAGTCCAATGACTATTCTTACGTAACTACAATTTTTTCGAATATAAAGGTCTAGGAGGATATGAAGATTATGCCGCAATTCAAGCAAATTATCCTATTTCTGAGCAATATGGATTATTTTATTTCGAAGTTGATATTATAGATAGAGGGGAAAATGGGTGTGTTGTTGAAAAAATTCGCAATATTTTTTTTTCTATTTTAGATATACAGTAAGTCAATTTTTTAAAAACTTTGACCATAATTCTATTTTTTCAATTTCCATAGGAAGATTGGAATCGGGTTTTGCACACAAACAGCTAGCCTAAATAAATTGCCCAGTAATTTTACCTGCTTTAAAATGAATCTATTTATTTACCAATTATATTGTAGGCTGGGAAGATAGCTCATGGGGTTATCATGGTGATGATGGAAAAAGGTTTTTTGAAAATAATGGCAAATCATATGAGCCAAAATTTATGACTGGTGATACTATTGGATGCTATTTAAACTTTAGAAATAATACGGTATTTTATACCAGAAAAGGAGTGAATTTAGGTAGCTATTATCATATTGCAAAGATTTGGTTAATTTAAATCAAATAATAGATATTTAATATCTATTGCATATTTTAAAGGTATTGCATTCCGAGATTTAAAAAATGCTTTGTATTCTTGTGTTGGAATCGTGTCACCAGGTGGATCTGTAAGGGCAAATTTTGGCTATAGAAAGTTCAGATACACAGGTAATTTTATTTAGTTTCTTTTTCTTTACTTACTTTATTAATATTAATTATTTTCACAATGATAAATGATGATGATATTGATGAAACTTTAAAGGAGAATTGGGCTGAAATACTTAATCCATTCAATAATATATTAATAAGTCAACAGATTAATAGATTTTAAGATTTAATACAATCAACTGAACAAAATGTTAATGTACTAAAATACCGAGAAAAATTTTATTTTGTTATAGGTAAATTTGAGCAAATACTTGCAGATTTGATAAAGTTGCTAGAAATTGAGACATATAATACATTTGCATTAAGATATCGAGGAGAAATTTATTTTATGATGGAAAGATATGATGTATCTATTGCAGATTTAAAAAAATTGCTAGAAACAAATGCAAATGATTCATGAACATTAAATGCCTATGAAGAAGTTACTTAGTTAAGTATAAATTTAACTTTTTAAGGATTACTATTAATATTCTTTTTTAATTAATTATATGTTAAATTAGTAGCAAAGTTTTAAAAGGTATGTATTGATTTAGATAATGATTGTAATTCAAACTAGAAATAATAAACATTTATCTTCATTAATAAATTTTAATGAATAAACATTTTAAATTGTAAACTATTTAATTTCTATTTATATTACTAATACAACTTAAATTTAAATAACATTTATTCATTTCAAAATATCTTATTCTATAGGGAGTAAGTTATTTCTATTCTTCATATTATAATATAAACTTAGTTAAATCTTTTTATTTAAAAATCTTAATTATTGATACATTTTTAGTTAGTAAGTTATTTTATTTTATTTATTATTAATTAAAGTATTTGAATTAATTAAGTTTGTATTTAAAATATTATAAAATGTAAGTTATATTATTAATTTGATAATTATAAATTTATATTATATAATAAATAATATTAATTTGCATAATTATAGAAAGTAGGTTATATTAATTAATTCATTATACTTTTTACTGTAATTTAAATTTTCTAAATTTTTTATTGCAAAAATTATTTAATAATTAATAATACAATAGATAGTAAGTTATTTTTATTTTATTCTTTTCTGTAATTCAAAATTCAAGCTAATTTTTATTTAAAAAAATATTTACTAATTAATAATACAATAGAACATAAGTTCTTTTTATAAATTATTAGAATTTGATTAAACATTAATATAATTTAAATTTAATCTAAATTTTTATTTAAAAAATATATTATTATTAGAGGGTAAGTTTTTTTTTATTTATTAATAGTATTTAATTATCCTTTTTTACTATAAATTATTCTTAATAAAATTTTTTATTTAAATAATGAATAATATAATAGATTGTAAGTTATTATTAATTAATAATATTTATTATACTTTTTATTTAACTAATTTTTTATCTAAAATACAAATATATTATTATAGAAAGTTAGTTTATTTTTATTGATTATAAGTATTTATTTATACTTTTGTTTAATTTAAACTCAATTAAATTAATATTTTAAACATACTTAATAATAGTCATATTTATGCAAAAAAAATAAAAAAAATCAACAATCTTTTATACAATTTAAATAAACAAATATTTTAACTCATTTATAATTATGCATTACTAGAATAGATTGCAAAACTATTTATTTTTAAAATTACAATATAAAGAATATCAGTTTTTTGAAACCTGATTTTCCTAAATGATAGCTGATAAATAAAATTAAATTAAAATAGTTCCCTTTAATTCAGGTATTTCTTAAAATAAATTTAACAAGTTGTTCTATATTAAAAGTCCTTCTTTTATTTTTGAATATTCAAAATTTCTTAATAAAATTTATAATTTAGATAAAAACTTATCATATTGAAATTTTAAAATAATCAAAATAAATCATTTAATTATACTTGTAAGAGTTGATTAACTCTATAATACCTATACCTAATTTTTGACTTCATTTTATTTTCGATGTCAGAATAAAAAAAAGTAATATATTTAATAATTAATGCTAAAAAATAATGTTTTATATATTAAATATTGAATGCTTCCTGTCATAAATGATATATTTGTGCAATTAATACTAATTATATATTTTTTATGTAAAAGATTTTGAATCATTATTGTGTATTTCAGAAAATGGAAACTTATTAATTAAATAGCATTTCTTTTAAAACTTTTCATTTTAAATGAAAAATGAAAAATAAATTTTAAAATAAAAATTTTTAAATTTGGGTATTATTACAAATCTATATTTTAAAATATAAATAAATTATATAATTATGAAAATAAAAAATATCAAAATTGAACTTTTGTAACTTTAAATCAGATTACAAATTAATTAATTAAGATGAACTATCTGATGGATTACCAATCCCTAGTATATATATAAATTATCAAATATATAGTGAATTACAGTCATTATCCTTCTTATCATTTTGAAAATAAAAACTTTTTGTAAATATTACATTACTGTTTATAATGATATTAAATGTTTGAAAAAGAGTTTCATAAATAGCTATTATAAGAGTACTGTATATTCAATATCCAGGCTTAAAAAATAAAAATATTAATTATGATAAGTTAGATAAAATGTAAAATAAGTTAAAACATTCGCTTTATCAATTTTGTGATATTTTATTTATTCTTACAAATATATCAAAATCTATATAATATGTAAGCATCAGATATGGCATAGTTAACTGCAACAAAATAATTAGCTAAAGAAATTTTGCTTAAAAATGACTTAATTTCGTCTATAGAATGATATCTCTGACTATACATTATTAAAGATCCATTTTGACTAAATATTTAATGAAAATAATGTTAATTCTGCATGTTATATTAAACAATGTAACAAAAAAATATATATTTTTAGTTAAAAAAATTTATCAAACTAGAGTCTGCATTTTCAATCCTTTTCCTGTAAATTAATTTGCTGTACAAAGTTGAATTAGAGGTTTCTTGTCTATTAATTATACTAAAATTAAAATGTAATTTTTCTTTTATAAAGTAATTTTTATAATTACTACTTACCTATATTTTGTTACAATCTTTAAAAGGGTAAAAAATATATTTTTTTAACATATAAATGTATTATCAATAATGTGAAAATTGCGTGAGAGAGTCATCTAATTTGGACTAAAAATACAAATCACGTGAGAGATGATAAATTATTTATCACAGTTTTACCACAAAGTTTTCATCCATATGAATTATTAACCAGTATTATAACTTGACCAAAATTAACTAACTGATAAATAACGTAACAAATAGGATTATCACTAACTATCCTAGAATTACCAATAAAAAATCACTTTCACGTGACTTTTTGGCTAAAATTATAGCATTAACTGTGAGTTAAGGTATTATGTATGTGAAAAATAGTAGTGTGATAAATAGGATTTAAATACTGAAAAAATTTTATCCCTAAAATACTTAATAAAAAATGAAAAGTGAAGGATGTGATACAAGGTAACATATATTTTATATGATCATGTAAAAGTGATTTTTTGTTAGTAATGCTGAAAAAGATAATTATCACTTGCAAAAAATTTCTAAATGGTATGATATAAGCAACATATTATTTGAGATCATGTAATTATGTAAAGGTAAAAAATGGTAGTAATACTGAGAAAATGTAAAAAATGAATAAGATGAATTTCTTTATACTGACCATATTTGTGAATTTTAGAAGAGATATAAAAAGAATTTGCAAATAAAATCATCAAATAAACTTTACATCATTTTTTGTAATAAGCCTTAATAAATTAATATCCTTTTAAAAAATTACATGAATATTATCAATAAAAAAACCATCATACAGGTTAAAAATAAAAGCCTAGCAATTTATTTTATACAAAAAATTATTTATTAAGCAATAATGTAAGAAAGTAAATAATAAAAAATACAAAAAGAAGTATACTATGCAAATATGATTACAATACATTTTGCTAAAACCTGTTCTACTGAAATCCCCTTTGCTGAAACAAATTTACTGAAAAGACATTTTGCCAAATGTCCATTTTACTGAATGCACTTTTCATTAAAAAGAAATTTCACTAAATGAACATTTCACCGAGAGGACACTTCGCTGAAATGACATTTTGCTGAATTCATTTTGCTGAATGAATACTTCATCAAATCTGTTTCACTAAAAAGACATTTTGCTGAAAATAAAAATAATTTGCTATTGGTTGTTAGCAATTTGTCAGATTTATTGAACTATTTTTATTATTTCTAACGAAATTATTAAGAAAAAATCTACTTTATAATGTAAAACCTAAAAATAATTAGTTAAAAAAATGTTATACAGTAGTCATTTTTGGCAAAATATCCTTTTGGTAAAATAGATTCGGTGAAATGTCCATTTGGCAAAAAGGATTTAGCAAAATATCATTTGATAAGACAGCATTTTAGCAATATCTTTTTGGTGAAAATGTTATTTGGTGAAAAGTCTATTCAGTAAATTGGTAATTTAGTGAAGAGTCCTTTCAGTGAATTAGCTTTAGCAAAGTGGATTTTAGCAAAACAGATTTGATAAAATATTCAAATATCTGCAAATACATATCTAGTTATATTATTAAAATAAAACTGTCTAGTTATTACTAATAAATTTTATTTAACAAAAGAAATATGTGAGAGGATATATATCTTGTAAATAACATTCAATAATTTTCTGCTTTAATTCCATTTTGGTCATCTTATCTGTGAAATCGTTAAAATTGGTAATATTATCAAATACCATTATAAATATATCCAACTTTTTTCTTTTAAAAGTGGATATTTATCATCAAATTCACCACTTTTTTGATGTATGTTTTTACTTGCTTGATTAATATAATCTTGTATAATTCTAATTGCTAAATCTCAAGATATAAAGAAAACAGATATTTTATTACTATATTTTCAAATAAACTCCTAATAATTATTGAGGTCAGTCAGAACTACTAACATATCATATTTGGACTAATAATTGACTAAAACAAGCTCTACTTGAACTTGATACCTTTCTGATACGCTGATGATTCCTTGCTTTTTAATTCAAATAGCACTCAAGTTTCATTTGCTTCTTAGCCTTTAGACTTTAAAAGTTAGCATTTAATATTGTAAGATCTATTGTGCCTCTAATATTAAAGAAAAGTCATGGCTTATCTATAATAATTAGAAATTATTGATTATCTTAGGTATAATACTATTTCATAATTGTTGATAAAGATATGAGATTAGATAAATAGCCCTTATATTTCTTAGCTTGCTTATTTTCATTAAGCTTTATGTTCCAAGTAAATAGTTCTGATGAAGCAATAATATCTTGTTAAGTTTTCTAATTTATTACATTAATCGTAAGTTATAGGTAATTTTTATTTTGTTTATATCTGTAAGACCAATTTTTGATATATTTATAGACTTGACCTTTTTCAACTCT